AAAGACTACTACCAAAAAGAATTTCAGCTCTCTATGAGTTTCCTGGTTGGAGTTATGAATTTTTCTTTTTATGCTAGTTTTCACTGGGAAAATCAGAAAACTGTCCGTAAGTTTCGAAGGAAAAGCCATCGGCCGAAATCCTTTTAGGCTTTTTACCTACTCGAGGTCCCTTATCGAATGATGTATGAACGAACGAAATCGGAGCGGGGCACCTGGGGGTGTTCCCTCGTTAGTATTGTCAGTATACCGATACTGGTGCATACTTATATATTTTAATTTCACTGAAACTGATACCTCATGCTCAAAGCGCTAGTTTTGCCTTGAGACTAGTTTTGAAAACTTCAATTAGAAAAGTCAACATTTTTTTTCTTCATAACAAGAGTAGTCGAAAGTCAAATTCTCTAACTGATTTTTCGTCTATCGTTATTCAGGAATTGATTAGGTAATACATTATTGCCTCTTAAGAAAATTACGTCAAATCTTGATGACAGATCAAAATTTATAAAAAATAGTGACTATCGTCACTTCTTTCTCCTTCTCAATCTCATTAGATCATGTAAAAAAAAAGCATTATTGCTTATTAATGTCAACTTATGAATCTCTAGATGATGATGTAGAGATGGAAAGAAAAAAAGAATATATATTTTTCTTTCCATCTATATAAAATTGAATATATTCAGTTTTATTATTGTTATTTCTTTTTACCACACAAAAATGTCTGATCTTGTCTAAAGAGTGTTTTCCGATGACTTATTGTAATAAAAGTTTATATAAATGTGTATTTAGGTACCCACATAAAATTGTATTTAAACTCATCTTCGTGTAAAAACAAAAATGAAACTTTTCGTTTTTATTGAAACATGACGATGAACATCGGTAACAATACTAATAATACAAATTGTATATTCATTATTACACAGCAAATAATTATTTATTGTGGCAGTTTTATGTGTTTATTTGGTAATTTTAGTTGTTTACTATTAATTTTAACATTTATTCATAATCAATTCTATCGTCAACATGTATCATCTGTTTATTTACTAGCATCATCTATTGCTGAACTTATTCAATTAAATACCGTTTTATTATCATTTATTTTAAGTGATGGTTTTAAATATAAATTATTTTCTCATTCAATTTTATTTTGTAAATTAACATGGTATTTTGTACCTATATCAGCAATGTCATCAATAACATTTATTTTAACTGGTACAATTGAACGTTTTTTACTATTAAAACAACATCAACGATTTATTAAAAAAAATTCATCAAAAAAACATATTATTATAGTTTTTTGTATTTTATTATTTTGGTCAATATTTGCAATTCCTAATTTAATTTATTTTAATATTGATTTAAAAACAAAAAAATGTAAAATATTAACATTACAATCAGGATGGTATCCAATTTTTTTTACTTATAGTTATTTATTTTTATATTGTTTATTACCATCTATTCTATTATCAATATTTAGTTTATTAACTATATTAAATTTAAAACAATACAATATTCAAATTAATTATAAGAATAAACGTCGTTTAGAACAATTAAATTGTGATTTAATTAAAATATTATTAACACAATCATTTTTAATTATTTTATCATCCATACCAATAACAGTCTATCGTTCTTATGATTATTTAACACGATATAAAATTAAATCACGCGAACAATTACAATTAGAATATTTAATAAATAGTATTTGTCGATTATTTATTTTTTTATATTCATCATGCGATTTTTATTTAAATCTTTATATTTCAAAAATTTTTCGAAAACAATTTCGAAAATTAACAAAACATTGGTATTTAAAACTATTTTCAACATGGAATTGTATGTCTAATTGTCGATTTTCTCAATCAATTTCAAGATGTCCATCTTGAAATTTTGAACTTACTCTTTTTGATGTTTGATTGACTATTGAGCTATTTAATAGAGTATGCATCAGTTCTAGAACTGGTGTTTGGACATCCGAAAAAGCTGTTTAATTACTCGGTAATTAAGAGGAGTTCAAAGTTGCGAAACATCTCATTTTGCATAGAAATGTTTGCTTTAAAAAGCCCACTCGTCTAAAAGATAAGTAAGGTTAATTATGTCAAAAGTACGTTCCGTCTAAAACAGTGGAACAGTTCCTGTGTTTTTCAATACTTATATTTCTAAGGGTATTACTAAAAGACGCGAACAGCCCCAAATTAAAATCTGAGTTAGCTAATCGATGCAGCTCGTCGAGTTGAGTATAGCAAGGTCTACCGAACATCCAACAGAGTTTTTATAGTTTCGCTTTTTAAGCATAAATTTTCAATGAACACCCATGAACGCTCAAAAGAAAGGATAATTACACCCAAAAAAGTGCCAAATTAATCTCCAGGTTGTTCTGAGCACCATTTTCAACCCAAACAAAAAAATACTTTGTGAGTGTTAACACAGTTAATCTTTAAAATCTTTGAGAGAAAGTGAAGCGACAAAGTAAAAGAGAGAAAAAGGAAAAAAACATGAGAAAATCATAAGAAAAAAGCATGAGAGAATCATTAAAATAATACATATAAAAGCCCATAACCGAAATAAAAACAGTAATGAATATACTATATAGCAAGAAGAAAGAACAAAGTAAGAATGCAATTCAGTAAATTAATCTGAATGAATGATCTAAGCAGAAACGAGGGAGGAGAGTGGAATATAATCTGTCTGCCAGAGTGAATAGTGGAGATGCAAGGAAAAGAAATACACAGCATCAAGGCGGCCGAAAACGACTGGTACATTTAATATATCGAATGATAGCTAAGTAGACTTCTTCCAGTTGTGATACGGATAGGGTAGCCATCAGAGCTCCGTATGGACTGGACTGAGTCCATATTCCAGTCCAGTCCATGTGGACTGGACTGGACTCAGACTTTTTGGATTTCATGGACTCGGACTGGACTGGATTAGACTTTTTTAGTCCATGGACTGGACTGGACTCAAAAATTTGAGTCCATACGGAGCTCTGGTAGCCATACATGGATAGCGTAATAAAATATGATCAATAGTGATCTTGTTGTTATTTAAAACTCTTGTTATAACATGAAATAAATCTGTGCGAGCCTTATTGTGTAGCGAACAATGTAAGAAAAAATGGGCTACAGTTTCACTGAATCCACAAGCACAGTTAGGAGACGGTACAAGTGAGCGTGCATACAGATCAGCATTCAGCTGACTAAAACTCAGCCGACATCTCGCAAAGTCAATGTCAAAAATGCGCTCATTAGGTATTACAGGTAGCTTAAGTTTAAAATAACCATGATTAGACAATAGTTGGGACATCAATTTAGTTTTAAATTTTTTCGGGTTCGGGATAGAACATAAGTCAGGCGTTAATTCATTCCAAAACCGCGACGCGCTCCTGATAAATGACGTATTTAGAGCATGTAGATGGAGCTTCACTTTCTCTCAACATATAATGGGCTAGGCCCGCTTTGTTGTGTAAATTTGTTACGTAGTTTTAAATAAACTGGTTTAGAAAAAAAAAAAAACTTTGAATCAGTCAGTTTTGTAGAGTAAACGTTTCTCTACAAAATGAGATGTTCCGCAACTCTTAGAAATTCTTAGTTACCGAGTAATAAGCGTTTTCCTGGATGCTCGAACACCAGTTCTAGAACTGATGCATACCAACTGTTTAATATTAGGTGAAAACATTCGGAAAATTCTAATTTTCGAAAAATATGGCTTTCGTTAGTTTTTAAAATCTTTGTCTAAGAGCAAATAATATTGTTACAAGATTCAGCATGATTGATTTATCTATAGCTTACCCGTTTCCGAAGCTACTAATAATTGCGGGACACCAGTTCTAGGTTTTTACAGAACATTCAATATCAAACCCAAATCACTAAAAATTAAGATCTCGCCTGACTCCCGTTTTTGTAGAAAACACTCGGGACTATCAATTCATGAAAAAAAGCTTATCAGCGCCGACCTTGGATCTAAAGTGTAACTTTTCCATTCAAACATGATGAAAAAAGATGGAGCTGAATGAAATTTATGCCACGAGTGCACAGTGGGCATTTTCCCATAGAGCAGGCGGACATCTGATTTTTCGAGTTAGAAAATGATTATTTTAGCATAATATGGTCTTACTATGTGTCAGATATTACGGCTTGTCCACACATAACGGCGTTACGTTTTGGACGCACTAAAATGAAATTATCTCGGAAACTAAAATAGTTAAAACGCTCATTTAAACGCCATTCGATGCAGCTCGTCGACTCCCATTTACGGTATAAACATGAAATTTTTTAGATGTCTCGACTTTTGAGAACGGTTTTTGTAGGCCGTAACGGCGTTACGAAAAAAGACCCTTTTTTTCGAGTGCTATCAACAAAAACGTGAATTCAGCCGATATACGCAAGAATAAAGTCGCTGCCTCGGGTTGGAGGGTCAAAAACTGTAAATTAAGTCGGAAAATTTGTACAGATATGTACAAGCTCAAAACCAAATACGCCATTTTGTAGAGAATTAAATTTTCTACGAAACCATATGTTTAGAAATTAATTTTTCGAAAACCTTCTCGGCTCAAAATAGAAAATCCGATTTTTGAAATGTTCAGAAACCGGTTTTGAGACTCAAAAACCAATTTTTATCGAAAAAGCGCTTTAAACGGGTTCTTAGAATTAAAAATTACATCTAGTGATGTATTCGAAATTTTCGAAAGAGAAAATTTTTTTTTTATAAACTTGATCAGCGGAGTGTCGCGTTACGTGGACAAGCCGATTAGCAGAAGTAAAAAAGATCGAATTAAAAAAAAAAGTTTTTTCGACAAAAAGTTCCTTAGGGGGACCCTTGCCCTGAATTTTTGTTAAAAATTGTTTTATTTGTAAAACTAACATACTATACATCATTCGACGTAGTTTTTCACGGTGATTCCGAATATGACTTTATGTTATGGAAAAAGTGCTCTTATGAGGGAGAAAAACGCGAATTACCTCGAAAACCCTCTGGGTTTTTGTAAAATCAATAACTCGACTTAGAAAAAAAAGACGAGATCATCATAAATACACGATAGGCTGAGGAACATTTTCATGTAATTAGAAGGTCTGTTCAGGCTTAGCACCTTTTGTGTGCTGTCACTGCACTGAGGTTGTCTCATGTCGGGCCGTAATCTAGACTACTAGACCTTTTTTCGTTTTGTACAAGATGCAAAAGGAGTACCTTCTATTATCAGGAGATGCAATAGGTTGTGCTGATTCCGAATATGTGCTTTGGATATGGTAACATTGCACGTCTGTACATAGAAATAAGAATCTTTGCAGATGTGTCATATCTGATGGTGTTTTTTGTGAATGTTCGTAAGTTAACTTACTCATCGAAGGAGTTCATTACTAGTCGATCATTATATACCATTCGATAGCGCTTTTCAAGGACTACATTTACTACTAGAAATACCGATTTTCGTCAAAAAAATATGATTTTGAGAAAAGCACATGGTTATATAGTCCAAAGTGTCTACTTTCTAACGACATAATTTTTGTGTCGATAGAATAGGTTTTTCATATTTTTTGAGCGGGTTTTCCAGAAGCCCTGTCGGAAAAAAAATGACTTTTTTGCACTTGTATTGCATAAGCGCACACGGCTGTGCACATGTTCATTAGATCCGCCATGGCCAATAACCTGTAGCAAAATATCGACAAATTATTCAACGCTTAAACAGTTTTTAAGTAGAACGCATTTAGCAGAATTAAAACTTACTTTGCGTTTTTCTTAACACTGTTTTTTAGGTTGAGAGCTTTCGCCGAGCACAGGAATTCCCAATAACAATACATCAGAGAAGGTTTTTCTTTCTTTTGATTTGTAGATAACACTTATAGGAGTTGACAGAGTCCGATTTTTAAATTATGCTTCTACTTTTTCTAGAAATGAGAGTTTCTAAGAAACCTTCCACGGATTTTTCAGACTTTGAAGTTCTATTAAGCACCCGAAATCAGTAAATGAGAAATTCAAAAATCGGGCTCTCATCAACTCCTAGGCATAGGTGTTTACTGTAAAATAAAAAGATCCCAAGCTCTCCATCATTTACCTGGAATGAGAATTCCTGTGCGTGGTAGACGCCTACTTTTGGACCTTGTTGTGGTGCCCTCTCACGAACAGTTGCAAGTGACGTCAAAGAAAAATTTTGTTACCACACTTTGACATGGTCAACATTCCTTGAAAGTTTGGTTCAGATCAGACCTTCCTCGGCTGAGCTAGGTAGATGGGTAGGTCCTCTTACTAGTTCCTGAGACACAAACATGTTTTTTTAAAGAACTCCTGGAAAACCTAATTTAAAAAACACTTTTAAAAAATTTTTGTGTGATGGAAACATGCTCTCATATCTCTTCTTTTGAATGGTGATAACCATAAGTTTCTATGCGGTTGTACCAAAAGTTATTCAAAGCATAGCCATCGATCCTATAGTTTGGTTTCGACAGTAGTTGGAATAATTCAAGTTTTCAATTACAATAATTTATAGATACAAAAAGCTAAAACAATCAATTTATTTAGTGATAATGATAATTATCTGCCATCAAAAAATAAAAGTAAAGATTATGTACTCATATTAACTAGAAAGTTTATCTCTTTGAATGGCGAAAGGCATGATAATGGATATAACTAGTTTTGATTAACTTTTTGTAAAACTGTTTATTGGACCATTTGTGAACAATATTTGCATCTAATATCAATCAATGTTAACATCGGAAAATCGTAAATCGAAAAATGTTTGAAAAAATATTTGGATTTGCTCTTTAAAATAGAAAAAAAAAATGAGAAATTCTCTTCTTCAAGTATATTAACGATATATTTACTCAAAAATTTGATTTCTATTCTTCTGTAAACAAATGGATAATAGAACACTAGACCAAATAGAATAATAACTACAGCAATTAGGAAACCATAATTCGGATCTTCGATTACCGGTGCAATTATCAAATATAGAGATATAAGAATAATAAATATTAAAATTGGTATTGGTACCTTACAAAGAAAAATAAAGCAAAATTCTATATCTAACGGATGGTTTACAAATAAGTTTCGTACGTTAATAACTCGATATGCCTCTTTTCTGGTAAACTTCATACAAAGTGTGGCAACAAATGTCAAACCATAGAATGTCCACGCAGTAAAACTGAGAAAATTAATTAATTGTTCTATATTAGATGGTATACAGTAAATAACTGCTAAAGTACACTGATCATAATGAAGATGATTAGAATTATTTCAAAAGCAGATTTAAATACTTCTTCTTACTCACTTCAAGTACAATTCCAGGTAAAGGAGTTTTACGGGCGTTTTGAATACATGAAAACACTTCTGGTAAATACCCATATCTCGCGCCAACCATTGAATATCTAGAAGAATTGTGCAAAAAAAATATAAATAGAGAAACATAATCAAACAATGAACAGTAATAAATTTTGATTTACCTGCCACCTGTATAAAGACCTCCATTTAAAGAACCTAATGCGCTTATAGAAATAAGTATCGGTAAAGCACGAACAACTGGTCCCAACACAGATTCACCCCACGTCTATTAATAAAAAAAAAACGGCGGAAAGATTCATTTTACACACACTCGGACAAATAACGACATCCTACCACCGCCACCGCATTTGAGCTTAACAGGGCTGCTTTTGTCATTACTGTAAAATAGGATATATTCGTGAGTAAATAAAGAACAGTGACAGTTGGTACAGCTATGATAATAGATAACCATAAATTACTAAACAAAAAATTTCTCATACATTTTTTCCTGATAAATATACTTATTCATGTTTTTGGCGGTTTCTGACCAGGGAATCTGTCCGTTCCCTGGTATGTTGTACTACAATTTCTGTGTTTCTGATCGGAAATTCAAGAGCATAATTACCAATATCTTCTATAGATCATGATCTTAGTTTCATAAAACTGAAACGTGTTCCATATTTATGCCAAAAATTTTGTCGTTGAATCACAGAAAGAAAAGGAAAATACAAGCGATAACTTTATATCTGTTCTCGTTCGGACAGAAATTTCTGCATTGAATATTTTCATTAGTCTAAGTTAGACTGTCTAACCCTGTAACAATTTGTGAAACAAATATTTTTTGTGCTCGCTTGACCATGTCAGTTTCTTGAATACAAAACTATATGTTGGATCTTATCACGTTTTTGAATACTTATAATCAGAAAGAAAGAACATTTTAACTATTTATTGTTAACTCGTCTGATTAACTGGTTTCTTAATAATCAAGTTTACTTACCGTTTTGGATTTTTTAATTCTTCTGTAACCGTATTCAGCGTACTCCATCCATCGTAGGCAAAAAGCCCACTATAAAATGCAAGTGCTACCTTTAGTGGTTTTTTTGTTGTACCAAAAAAAGAGAAACCATAGTAATAATCCTAGTTGCATTTGACAATAAAGTATGGCGCACCAAATTCAGTCTTTCCGTGCCATCTTATTTTTGGCTTGATTATACATCATTTGACAGAACTTTTCAAGCATGTTTAAGCATGCTTTCAAGCACGTAATCAGCGTTGAAAACTGAATAAAATTAACTATATTTCAAGTCTCCAGAGCCAAAAAAGATTTGGGGTGCCAAACGGGGCCGAAGGAACTTCAGCCTCACCTTATAACCATATGTTATGGTAAGAAACGATGCTGAATCTAATGAGCACATCTTTAGAACCTCTGCAGGATTTAGAAATCCTGTAAAAAGTTTCTGAAAAACTTTCAACCTAAACAATAGGAGATTTTGAGTTTAATTGCCATTATAAGCTTTATATTGCTGTTCTTTGGATTCTTTCTTTAGAAGATATTAAGCATCCAGATGTATAAAAAAGCGTTTATAAAACAACAAAAATATCTGATTTGATCTGCTAGTATCAAAACAAAACTCATATGGAAATGGAACATACTCAGAGCCGTTTTAAGAAATTTGTGGCCCGTGCTGATCATTAACGTTTTCAACACATCAATTTGTATTTTTTTTAATAATAACAAAATGCAAGGCTTAAGCCGTTCGATTGCGCTCCTGAGTCAGCCGGGCCCCTGTGCTATATCATAATTAGCACATAGGATAAGAAGGCACTGAACATACTAATCGTCAATGTTACTGTTCGTTCTTTTTCGATGTGACATTACTATATCATTACAAAGACTACTAAAAACCATTCCCACTGGACAGCTGATTTGACCTCCAGTAGAAACATAGCGTGTAGACTTTTTCATCTAATGCTAAAGGTGGCGCTCATCATGAGCGCCAATATAATGTACTGAATGATTCAGTACATTATATTCATCAAGATATGAAATCGGCCGTTTTTTTAGCAAAACGCTTCTCAAAAACCGGCTAGAAATCCTGCAGAGATGCTAAAATGTGCTCATTACATTCGGCCTCGTTTCTTACCTATTGCATGTTAATATTCTTGATTTTGGACGAAAATAAAAATTTATCGAAAAATGACGTGTCCGCTTTTAGAAAAAACTATCTAAATTTCAATAAAAATGAAATATCTCAAGAACAGAAAAGAAGAAGAACAGAGCATTCTTTGTAACTAAAACTTGTATGAATAAGGTTAAGACCAAGATATTCTTGATCAGCTTGAAAAGTTCTGTCAAACGATGTATAATCAAACCAAAAATAAAATAGTGTAGAAAGTTTGAATTTGGTGCACCTTGTATATTGCGACTTACCCTCAAAACTAAAATTTTCAGTATGACCTATTGAAAAAGAAGAAAGATATCAGAACGACTTTCCAGCAGTATACGAAGCATTATGTTGTTCTTAAAAAAGAGTTGATACCTTGTCCCAGCCGCACAATACCACCGAAAATGACAACGAGAATTGTTAAAGTTTTACTAATAACAAACGCAATATTTAACCGGTTAGCTATAGTTACGCTATAACAATTGATAGTACTGAGAAGGACTAAAATAAAAAGATATGATCATTCAATTAATGTAAAGTATTAAGAGTTACTGGACGTTTGAGTGACGAGGTAACAGCTTCGAGACCAAATTTAAGAGTTGCAAAAATCCTTCTAATCGTTAAAATATTAATATTGATTTTATTAAGTCTAATAGCCAAAGACGACTATGTCACCAAATTTTAACTATTTTTATATTTTTATCTCAGTTCTTTCAGGAGATCTTTGGAAACCCATTCTTCGATATACCCTCCAACTGTTTTTTTTCATATGGAGATGCCAAGGACACCTCGTCTCAAGTCTTTTCTTATATCCTGAAGTATGTTGGATCACAAATAGCCGAGTTATAGCATTTCTATCGTATAAGAGTTGAAGCGTCGAAACCTGATTTTTTGAACTTCTTTCAACTCTGGGGATAAAATAAACATTGCTACGAGATTCGGAATGGTGGATACCCTGTGGTTCATGTGTTTTTAAGACGCCCAAATCCGGAGGAGTAAGAGTTCTGGGACTTCGGGAAAAATTTGAACTCCGGCCAAATTTTCCGGCACGGTAACGGGTATTTCACACAGCTTCGCCCACTTGTTAGAGATCAAATACCCTCCGAGATCTTATGATGCGCATCTTGTAGCCTGTGAAAAGTTATAAATAACCTTACCTTTTCTTTTTAAAGAAAATATGCAGAACGTGATAAAAAAAATCCAAATAGTTTTTTTTCTACTAAAAATTCCGTCTAGGTAAGCTCCGTTTTGTTTCAAGGAAAGAGTTCTGAGACGACTGTTTGATAGACTCTAAAGCGTTGTCTATGGGACTAGGTTTCAATGTTAGGAGTTGTAAGCTCTTCGTACGGAAAAAATGTTACATCAAGCGAAAACTAGGTCTGCAAAAGTTCAGCGTTCCTTTTTAGCGTTCTCTTTGAATATAACGCTATTACACGTTGGCGTTCCTTGAACGTGGACGCTAAACATGACGTTTTCTGAACGCGAACATGAATGTTCTGGTGAACGTTAACGTTATTTTATATGAACAGTGTTGATTTTGTATGGAATAAATAGTATTGTAATGATATAGTAATGTCACATCGAAAAAGAACGAACAGTAACATTGACGATTAGTATGTTCAGTGCCTTCTTATCCTATGTGCTAATTA